GAGAGGGAGAGAGGGAGAGAGGGAGAGAGGGAGGGAGAGAGAGAGAGAGAGGGTCACATCACAGTGGAGTCAGCCGTCTTAACCGTGACTTGTGTACTGCACACATACCAGCATCATCACTGTGTCTGTCACATGACTCTGTTCCCCTTTCGGGCTTGAACTGATGGTAAAACTAATGACATTATTTACTGTCTTTACATTTATTTTGAAAGATGAAGCTCGCGATTATGGTAAGGGGCGTTACATTTCCGACGAGTGCTTGTGGTGTTCGGCCAATCACAATGCACTGGGTCAGCTGGCCAATCAGAGCAGACTGCGCTTGTCGGAAGGAGGGACTTTGTTGAAAACTAAGCGTTTGAGAGAGGCGGGGCATAGAGGACCTACAATAATGTACAGTATTTGAAAAATAATGTGTTTTTTGAACATTAAAGCATGTCAGCATATTCTGTTACACCAAATACACCAAATAATAATCTTTAAAAAAGCATCATATGACCCCTTTAAATACAGTTAGGTACTTTACAGTGCTTTTTTGAACCATTTAAGTGCATCTTTACATGCAATTTAAAAATTACTTGTTTTTGAAATATGGTTAAAGTGCAACTGCCGAATGTACTGACAAGCATTTACTGTAATCTAAAATATACTTTAATGTCATTTCTATTGAAATTTGTGTGTCATTTAAAAAAAAAAATATATATATATGCGTAACATTTGTAATGATGTAGCTGCCTTTTATTACAATTAAATATATTAACTTCAAATGTAATATTTAAAAAACACACTTCAGTTAAAATGATAATCAAGTACTTTACATGTGCTTTAGTATGTTAGTCAAAACTTCAACGTAAGTGTTCTTTAAAACATGACAAAAGATTATTATAGCATAAAAATGTTTTAAAAAGTACTTAAAGTAAAATTTTTCATTTGAAATTAATATGAAGTGCACTTTATAAAAGTGCATGTGTTAAGAAACATAGTCATGAATATACTCTCTTTTATTTCATTAATATTATATCATCAGCATTTATTTTTTAAATATACTTTTGAGATTTGAAGTATAGCAAGTTCACATTTAATCAAGGAAAATATCCCCCCCCCCTGATGTCTATGCCTTTCTGGCTTTCTCTAGCACACAATGGTCATAGTTCACTTTTAGATTCGACCCCAGATCTTACATTTTTCCACTATTTTTCTTGGTTTAGGTTGCATGATGCTGGAACCAGCGCAGATCCGTCGGAGAGGCGCTCAGGATTTTGAAGGTTAATATGATCACGTGTGTGCGGCTCAGGGATCAGCTCCGGTCCGTGCGGTGCAAGCCAGCCTGAGTCAGAGGATGTTAGAGTTTAACCCTGATCACATCAGTCTAGCGGACTGGACGCCCATCCTGTCAGCCCTGGCCATCAACAAACACCTCCAGCATGTTGCTGTCAAGAGCTGCCACCTCACCAGCAGTGCAGCTCAAAGTTAGTTAACGGACAAACACACAGTATCTCTTTTACATCTATTATAGTGCACAGTGTTTAAAAAGCATCTGTTGTAAATGCATTGTACTGCACATGTTTTGTAATGTACTGCATCATGACATCTAGAAAATTTGTACTAGTTATCATTTATTAAAGTGATAAAATTAAGTGGCAAAGAAAGGTATAGTATAGATGTGTTTTAGCTAAGGAAGCTGTCCTAGTTCACTAAAATTCATCAGTGCGGTGAATCTTATTATGATGGAGTGTCTTTATCTTCTCAGGTTCTTACAGGTCTCATAAGAAGAAGACCCCTGTGATGCATTCCAAGAATATGACTTTTCAGTTGTGCAAGGCGGTGCAAAAATGCCTGTGTGAGTCAAGCAGCCTAAAGACCCTTCAGCTACATGGTTTGCCACTGAGAGAAAGAGACCTCACAGTTCTCACAAAGGTTGAGTGACATATTTAGCCTGTCTTTGATATTGAGTATTTTATGTGTGCGCATGTATGTGTGTATTAATTTTTTTTAATCAGTTAAATTATTTTTGCTTTACCTATTTTTATTTTATTTATTTGTTTGTTATTTAGGTTGTGGTTTTTTTTGCGTTTTATTTTATTTTATATAAATGCCTCGTTCATTCATTAATTTTTTGTTTTTATATGTTTTATATTTCTTTGTATAAGTTATTTATTTAAATTTATTTATGATGTTTTTAGGGATTTATTTATGTTTGAATTTGTTTTATTTTCTGTTTAATTTAAATTTAAAAAAAAAATGTTTAATGATTAAATAAATATAAACTGAACAATAAAAATGAAACAATAAAAATAAAAATGAAAATTAAATAATTGAAATACTTTCAATTTTAATCTTTTTATGTATTGTTAGAGAACTTGTTCAAATAACATTGTAATTTCCCTTTAGGGTTTAGCTAAGAGTGTGTCATTGGAGCATCTGTCTTTAGCACACTGTCCAATTGCAGATCAAGGTTTGGAAGGTGAGTTAAAGTCATCAGACAGATTATGACTTTCACATTTATTTATTTTTGGCATCAGGATTAATGCCATTTATTATATGTGAGAAGCTTTATTGAGATGAACTTCTGCAAATGTTGTATACATATATTTTTGAATGCATTATTTTATGTATTAGTTATTAATGCAAAAACTTTTCTTTTGTTATATGGTTCTGTCATTCAGTCATCTGTCAGAGTGTGAAATATTCCTCAACAATTAAGACAGTGGATTTCACTTCCTGTAATATTACGTGGCAGGGAGCAGAGCATATGGCGAACATCATAAAGGTACGAGTGAACTTTTGTTAGCATTATTAATTCCTGGAAAGTTTCCTAAATATTTATCCTTAAATGAAATGTTTTAAATCTTCTCAAATTCATCTGTTGTTTAGCACCATGCAATGAGACGGCATAGCACGGCGTGGGTGGAGACTTTGCGCTACAGGAGAGCCGAGTTTGAAGCCATGAGCGGACTGCGCAGAATTACTCTCAATGACAACATCCTGATCGGAGACAGAGGAGTGATGGCACTCTCCCGCGAGCTTACAGAGGACCTGTGGGTCAAAGGTTTGAGAAGTCACTCTTTAACACACACACACACACACACACACACACACACACACACACACACACACACACACACACACACACTCACACACT